AGATTTGATCTTTCCTTGAACTATATTTGAGAGCTACATCACCATGAAAATCAAAGGTTTCACATATCCTAACAGGGTATATGTTTCCTTTGTACTCCAAACTTATCACCGTATTTATAGGCCTCATGCTATTCGTTATCAATTTGACCTTGCTATACACAAAAGAATCTGTATTGTTAACTTCAACAAACTGGATTGCCTCACCCCATAAGCTACCAACGCTTTTGAATGTGTTAGCATTCCATAAGTTAAATGGAACTCCATAACAACACAGCCAAACACATCTCTCCTGATCGAGATTTACCCCTTTTCCCCATTCTGTTACTGAAACATACCAATCATACATCCACCCCTTCAGTTGGTCATACCCCTCCTTCATAGATTGTGATGAGTTGAAGGTTAGGACTACACTTCTACCTCCCCCTCTTCTGACTAATATCTCACCTAAATCTTTCTTGCAAAATTCGTTTCTAAATGCAGAAAAAGAGAAGAAGTTTTTGAGCTTCACTATCAAACTGACAAAGAGCCATTCATTATCAAACTCAAAAGCTTTTGCCACTAAATAATCCTTCCCATCAGTAGCTCCACTTTTTACTACTTCAGCATAAGATTTCTGACCTCCAACCACTGGTATTTCTTGCTTAGACTGCCTTTGTAAATCTATCTTCAAAGGTTTACTTGATTCCGACCAGTGCTACTTGAATTGAGGCTTGGTGAACACTGCATTTTTAACTTTTAGCTCCTTATTCTCAACCTACAAACCATTTGCCTTTTGAATAGCCAAATTTTTTGCTACCGAGCAATCGAATCTAATGAAGCAGAATCTTGTACCTGTTACTATCCTTATGTTCGCCAGGATGAACACATCCTTAGCTGCCGCAAATTTGTTGAACAGGATGTACAAGCTCTTTGGACCCATTGATTCAGGAATGTTATCCACAAAAATAGTGAACAATCCACCATTTTGGACACCAATATTGCTACCCTCTTTCCTTCTCAGACCTTGGTTCCAACCTCCACTAACTCTACCCTCTCGGAATCTTTTTTCCATCCCGTATGACACTACTTTTTCCTCCATCCCATAGCCAAAGTTGCTCTGTATATCTCCCTGTTCTTGACTTCTCCAAATCATAAATCCAGAACAAGTCCAAACCCAATATTGACACAAACAAATTCAAACCCGATAGTGTAATTAAAGGGATACCAGAGTTCACACCCTCAATTAAAGGGATACCAGAGTTCACAAACAAAGACACCAGAGTTCACAAACAAGTCCAAACACAAACAGAGACACCAAAGTTCACAAGAATGATACCTAACCTTGCAAGATCCGTCGCCGAAGATCGAAGTTCACACAACACGGATCTAAGCTGCGAACCCGCCACTGCAAATCTACATCTCTCCTCCCCCTTGTTTGTCTCCAGAGAGACACAACGATAGAGAGTAGCGTAAAAGTGAGATCAGTGACGGAGAATAGCAGGAGGGAGAGATTGGCGACAAAGAGCAATGAAAAGAATAGATCGATGATCTGAGCTATGTTCTTGGCTGTCGGAGAAGGTGGAGAGGAGGCAACTCAACCATATTTCGACGCCATTATTTTCTGAGTATTGATAGTTGACTAAAATAAATATCCTTACATTAAAAAAAGAGATATCCAAAACCTCTGAGTAAATATAGCTTATGTTGAAAGTGGAGGAAGAGTATTTTAGTGCCAATATATAAGAATAAAAGAGATGTTCAAAATTGTAACAACTATAGAGGAATCAAGTTAATGTGTCACACAATGAAAGTGTGGGAGAGAGTGATGGAACATCGATTGCGAGATATAATAGAGGTGTTAAAAAATCAATTTGGGTTTATGCCTAGTAGGTCAACAATGGAAGTAATCTATCTTTTAAGGAGAGTAATAGAAAAGTATAGAGAAAAGAAAAAAGATATTCATATGGTTTTTATCGATTTTGAGAAAGCATATGATAGAGTGCCTCGGGATATAATTTGATGAGTGTTAAAGAAGAAATGGGTGACAAAAGATTACATTGATGTGATTAGGAATGTGTATGAAGGTGTGGTGACCATTATTAGATCGTCTACTGGAGAGACAAGTGAATTTTCAATTTCTGTAAGGTTACACCAAGGATCAATCTTAAGTCCTTATCTTTTTACTTTAGTTATGGATGAGTTGACGCGCGATATTCAGGATGATGTGTCATGGTGTATGCCTTTTTGCAGATGATATCGTGTTAGTAGATGAGACTAGAGAATGAGTTAACACTAAGTTGGAGATTTGGAGAAAAACACTTGAATCTAAAGGATTTAGGACAAGCAAAACTAAACAGAGTATATGGAGTATAATTTTAGTAACAGTCACAATGGGAGCGGAGGAGAAGTGAAAATTGAGAACCAAAAACTACTTAAGAGTGAATATTTTCGTTATTTAGGGTCGATTATCACAACGACTGAGAAGATTAGAGCGGATATGGTGCATAGAATTAAAGCGGCGTGGCTTAAGTGAAGGAGTGCGTCTAGAGTACTATACGATAAACGAGTACCCATTAGACTAAAAAGGAAGTTCTATAGAATAGCTATTAGATCAGCGATGTTTTATGGGACGAAATGTTGGGCAACTAAGAAATAATATGTAGAGAAAATGAGTGTTGCTGGGATGAGGATATCAAGGTGGATGTGGGACAAGACTAGAAAATACAGTTTTTTTTTTTTTTTTTTTTTGGAAATATTAAAACTAGAAAAGACAAAGTTAGGAATGAGTATATTCGAGAATGGGTAAGAGTTGTACTAAGAGAAGATAAGTTGAGAGAGAATAGATGAAGATGATATGATCATATACAACGGAGACCAACAGAGGCAGTAGTGAAGAGATGTGATACAATGACTGTAGATGGCAGTGTTAGGGAAAAGAACAAGCCTAGATTGACATGGACTAGTGTAGTAAATAGATATATCAATCTCCTTAATTTGACTAACGAAATGGCCTTGGATAGAGTCGAGTAGAGAAAAAGGGTTCATGCAGCCGACTCCATTTGATAGGACTTAAGTCTTGGTTTGGTTTTGTTTTGAATGAATACCTTGACCGATATTTCTAGAGCAGCCACTGAAAATAAGCCACTTGTGTATTTAATGCCTTTTAAATTGTTGATCTCATAGAGACTAAATCATATAGAACGCGTAAGAGTTTCATTTTGGTTATTTTGGTCATTTTAGTTATAGATTCATGAAAATTTAATTACCTCCCCACCGACCAGCCTATCTTTGATGGCTGGTTTTGGTTCTATCCACTTATGGGTTCACTCAAAACTCATAATTGTCTCCATTCAGTTGTATTCCCTCCAATTCACCTTCCTTGTTGTAAGATTCTATGAATAGACAATGTTGGCAAACAATGATGAGATTGCATGTCCTCTTCATCAACCAATGCTCTATGAAACCACTTAAATTGATCATAACAATTCACAAAAAATAACTCATTCACTAGAAACGGAAACTTGTGGATTAAACAAAACAAAAACAATTGTGGCTCTAGTTAAGAAGACGACAAATTTGCTGGAGAATAGATGATCACCTAGTGAATGAGTTATTTTTTGTGAATTGTTATTATTAGTCTATTATGATATATTTGAGTGATTTCATAGAGCATTGGTTGACAAAGAGGATATGTAATCTCATCATTGTTTGTCAGGATTATCTATTTATAGAATCTTACGACAAGGAAGGTGAATTGGAAGCAATATAACTGAATGGAGACAATTAAATTTATTATCACATGAGTGCTCTCCGTAGCTAAAGCCTAAGACAACAACTCAAATAGTTATTCCCATAGACTCCGTAGCACACAAAGTTTCAAAAAACATAAACCGACACATGTAACGGTGAAAATATCCAAAAGCCTAAAAGGTCCAGCTCTCTTTGTCTAGAATTAGCTCATCTATTAGGATCTATTCAAATATCTAAAGTGAATCACCTTGGGGGTGATTGACATGAAGGATTTTGGCTAAAATAGACAATAAAAACCAAATAAAAAAAGAGGCTAAAATAGTCAATAAGAAAAAATGTCACATCTTACACATCAATCAATCACTTTTTCTCACACAACTATCTATTCAACTAAAAAAAACCCACAAATCATCCTAAATAAACACAACCTTTTTGCATCTCATAAAATAGCCAAAAAGCCAACTAAAATAGCCAAGTTTCCAAACCGGGGCCCTTGTTTGACAAACCACCATATTCCGTTAAGATTTTTGAATTAACACAAATCCTGGCTCTGACAAAAGCCTTTGTCATTTAGACTACCTTAAAGTCTGTGCCATTAAGGTAAGGGTACAATTTCACTTCTAATTGGTTAATAACGTTAATTCACAATTATTATGAAAATCATTCAAATGGTCTCTACATACATGATGCCAACAGTAAGCAATCCAATAAATGTCACCTCTCTATAAGGTCACTTTGGAAACCACCATGCAGAAAATGTGTTAATATTCAAAGGGAAAAATAGAAAGCAACTAAATATTAATAAATTTTATTTGCTTTTCCTTCTTCAACATTTTCCGGGGGGAAAGGAAATACCATTACCCAGCATTGTTCTGACCACTATAGGGTGCCGGCATAGGATAGATGGATGAAAACCTAACATTTGGCAATATTTGCAAAAAGTGGCAGATGATTAACGAACTTGTAAGCTTAGATACATGCAGAATTCAAAAGAACCCCACAATTTGAATTCAAACCCCTCAAATTCACCATAAATCTTATACAAACACAATCTAAAAATCCGTACCACCAATCACTAGGTAGTACAAAACCTCGCACTCGTCAATTACAACTGAATGAGAGCCCCATAATCCCAGAAACGATCCGAAAATGTTTGATTCACTGTCACAACTAGTCGCGAATTGAAAGCAGAAATTGAATATCGAAAGCAAATGAATCAACATCGATTGATCGAATTGAGAAGAGAGACAGAGAGAGAAGGGAAAGATCACCTGCCAAGCATCGATGGTGCGCTGGAAATCTTGAAGCCAGCGATCGGCTTGCATGCGAACGGCGTCGTCTGGGTGGTGGTAGAGTGCGTTTAGGGCTTCTTTAACTGTGTTCTGGAGCTCCATTTCTTCACGACTCGCCCAAACTCAGAAAAGAAGACAATCGATATCCCAAAACCCCAAACAACAAATATATAGATACTGTAGACAGATTGATAGATACAGATATATAGCTATGTATCTGTGTATACGATGTGATGTGAATTGGTGGTAGTGTAGTGTCTGCTTCGCTTTTTCCTTTTGTATTTATCTTTTATTGGATAAATAAATTACACTTCCCCATTATGTTCATTCACGTTTCCATTTGGGTCTTTGAAATTTTCTTTTTTTCACTTTTAACCTTTGTATTTCAAATTTTTTTCACTTTACTTTAAAATTAATCTCTATTAAAAGTTAGACAAAAAAATAACACATTATCTATTGCATAATATAAAAATATTTGATTATATATGACTCATACATCTAACATAATATAGTGAGCAAATACCCAAAAAAATTACAATTCAAACTGATCCAGTCTAATCTAACGGGTTTGATTTAATTTTTCTAATCCATGATTTTCAAATTGACTTGAAAATTAGAAATCTTGTTCACGGATCGATTATGAATTATAATACATGGTTTCAGATTGAATCTGATTCAAACCTTTTATTATCCCACTCTATTATTATACATTACACTCATTATATACGATCCCAACTTTTTATATATAAAACCCAAATAAGGAATCTTCCAAAGAAAAGAAAAAAAAGCTGCCGTCAATGGAATTATCACTAATTACCAATAATCAATTTATTAATATTACAAATTGATTTGGGTTGCTGATATTGGGGGTGTTTGGTGGAATTTTTTTGAGCCAACTTATGACTTTTGGCTTTTAAAAGTTATTTTGGACTGTTTAGTTAAACTTATTTCAAAGAGTTTCTGATTCTAACAACTTATTTTAAGTCAAAAAAACTGATTCTGAGAAGCTGTTCATCATTTGCTTTTGATTATCAGTTTCTGCTGTGGACATGTTAATTCATGGTTATACTCTTAGATTTTTTTATTTTTTTATTTTTTTTAAAATAGAAAAGACCCATATGAACTATAAAATGTTATTATTATTTTTTATGAGAAATGTAAACAAATAATGAATAATAAAAAATAAAAGTTAATTGAAAAAGCTACTTCACAGCTTATTTAACAAACACTACTCAGCAACTTAAATTTATAATCTAACAGCTATACCAAACAGATTAATATCTTTTGATTAAAGTTGTAATCAATAATCTGTTAAACTATAATCTATAATTTGTTTTAACAGTTATACCAAACAGGACCATTGCTATGTTGTGCTGCTACTTTTGTTACTTTTTTTAAATAAATTATTTAGCATAAGTTTAGGGAAAATTTACCCATAAGTCCTAGTTTCTGAAAATTTGAACCATTTAGTCCTAAAAATTTTCTTATGCTCCATTTAGTCCCATTTGCACATCAATCTAATGTTTAAAACATTAATCTGATGTTCGAAATCTAATGTTCGAAACATTAATCTGATGTTCTGAAACATTGTAATGGGACCTTTCAGTGTATAAGAAAACTTTTAGGACTAAACAGTGTATAAGTTATTAATTTGGGATTTATTGGTGCATCCCCCTAAGTTTAGTTGTGTAATTGTTATTGTCACAACAAAATGTTTGTTAAATGAGAGTTTTATTTGCTAGATGTTGAACTTATATTTATTTATTAGATGATAAACTTATATTCATTTGCTAAATGTTGAATGTTTTTAGAATAATATTATATGATTTTTATTGTGTGAAATCGTGGTTTCAAACTGAACTGATCCATGTTTAAATGGTTTAGTTCAGTTTGATTCTATGGTTTAAACAGTTCGAATTGATTCTAATTTTTATGGAATCGTAGTTCACGAATTGGTCGTGATTTCATACTAAATCGGTTCGATCCAAACCATGCTCATTTCTATAACACAAACTTAAATTATAATATAATAATATATTTTTTATATTATATAACAGTTATTGTGATATTTTTTATATAATTTTAAATAAAAATTAATTTTAAAAATAAAGTGAAAAAATTTAAAATATCAAAATCAAAGTAAAAACAAATAAATTTGAATGGAGGAACATAAGAAGACTAAAGTGTAATTTATTCTTTTTTATTTTTCATTTTTTTTATCTGTATTTTTTTTTTTTCTTTGACTAAGGCGGTTTTGACGCTCACCGTAAGGATGTGTGATTGATTATTTGACGGCAAAGTAAGGTAGAATAATGGCCGTTGGATTGGTGTATGTTTGACCTTTGGTCAACATCTAATTCAGTCAGACCTAAATCTATATCAGTGTTGTAATTTTTTCAAAGAAAATTCTATGGACTCTAAATTTTTTACTAAATAAATGATAAATTATCTTCCATGTGTGTGGAGTAAATGTAGACCCTACTTATGTGAGATATTTTGGTAATTTATTTTAATAAAAAATTTAATATTCTTAACTTTACCCTTCTTTCAATGCATTGTAATTTGTACTGTCCACTTATACATTGGCACGTCAGCAATTTAAATAAATAAATAATTTCCTTATAAGATTAAAATAATACACCACCTAATCCCTCCAATCCAATTGTAAAACAATTATACTTAAAGCCTGTTATAAAACTAAAGAAAATAAAGAAGAAAAAACCACGATAGAAAAGGAAATAAAGGACCACATATTTAATAAACAGTTTTTTTATATATTCATTAGCATGCAAACTCACCTAGGGATGGCAATTTGAAACCGGCCCGACGGGGACCCGATCCTCCGACCCCGATTTGAACGGGTTTTCCCCGAAAATATCCCCGACGGGACAGGGATGATATTCAAAAACCAATCCCCGATTAATTTCGGGCCGGAGACGGTGATAAGTGCCCAATCCCTGACCCCGCCCCGCCCCGTATGTCCCCGAACTGATCTATATATATAATATATTTTTTTATTATTTGTTTCCGTCTCTCATTCAGTCCTCTTTCAATTTTATTTTTTGTTTCATTTCATTAATGCTCTTCTCTCTCTCTTCCCTCTACTCCTTCTCTCTCTCTTCCTCTCCGTCTGAGACGTTACATCCGACTACGACGACGGTCCGTCTCCGACAACGCCACCTCCAACTAGGACGACGACGACGAGCACCACCTCTGACGACGACGAGCAGCAGAGAGATGGAAGGACGACGGGTGACGAGCAGATCGAGGCCAGATCAGATTCAGATCTGCCCTTTGAATTCAGACGAGCAGATCGACTCAGATCAGATCTCTACTCTCTCTCTCTCTCTCTCAGATCAGATTGACTCAAAAAAAAAAAACAGCATCAGATCTGCCCTGATGTTGATGATGTTGTTTGTGATGTTTAAGATGTATATCAATGTATATCAGATTTCTCTCTCTCTGTTTGTTTGTTGTTGTTGGTTTTTTTGTTTTTTTTTTTTTTTGGGTCCGGGGAATTTCGGGGTCGGGGAAACCCGATCCCCGTTAGAGGGCGGGGACGGGGGGCAGTGATAGGTCCCCGTCGGGGATCGGGGCCGGGGATGGGGAAAATTTTACCATCGGGGATCGGGGACGGGGAGTGTGATCCCCGGCCCCGCCCCGCCCCGCCCCGTTGCCATTCCTAAACTCACCTATTTATAGGTGATAAAACTCTCACTACTTACCACTAATCACCACACCATGTAGTTTACCACATGGCATACCTTACTTTCCACATGGTATAACATCTCTTATTTTCACTTTGGCCCAAAAACTCATTAGAATTCCAATTGCATCTCTTTTAATATTTATCCAAATATTTCACAACACTTCCCCTTAGATGTTTTTAGTGGTTACTGCATTTGCTAGATGAAGTATGGTTTGAAAATGAAGGGTATGTTTGGTTTGTGTTTAAGAAATGTGTTTTAGAGATAAAAAGTACGAAAAGTTGTTTGGTTTGGTTTTTTTCAAAAGATGTTTTGGAAAATTATTTTGAGAGAGAGTTTTGGAAAAAGTGATTGATTTGATGTGTGTGAAAGAGAGATTTGTTTGGAAAACTTGTTTGGTTTACAAGTTTTGAGAAATTTTTTTGGAAAAATTTGTTTGATTTGATTACTTTTAAAAACTTATTTATAGAGAAAATTTCCCAAAATTTTTTCAAAAATACAAACCAAACGAACCCGAAATGTTTTTCTCCTTCTTCAAAATTTCCAGCAAGCTTTTATCAAGGTTTTTGATTTTTTTTTATTTTTTATAGCAAGCCTTCATGAACTCAAAATATGTTTTAAAGGGGTATTATTTGACATTTATAGAGTATGTGAGAATTTTTTTCTAAGACCATGGATGTGTTTTTATGACTCCTTTTATATTTCTACATACTTGGTGCAAATAATCTATTAAAAATAGAACACTTTAGAAATTTCTAGAAAATTCTAGAAAAATTATCTCACATTCATTTTTATATTGAAATTTTTCTCCAACAGTTAGCCTTCAAAAAAAATTTATTTCAATGCAAATTAATGAGTGTTTTAAGAGAAATACCAGTTTTTGTAACAGTTGTCAAATCTAGACTAAGCCTGTGTATTTCTTAAATGTCTAAAAATCTAAAAGAGCCACTATACTTTTATAAAATGATTCTGAAACTATACTTAATTCTCTACAAATCCTCAATAAGCCAAGTTTCTGAAACCATTAAAAATGTTTTTTCTATATTTATTTTTAAACCTGTGTCGTGCTGAAAATATGAACAATGTGGTTACTGTTGTAATTTAATGCTTTTGTGCTATCATTCATGTATAATTGAACTTATTATGACATGTTTGTTTATAATATATATTATACTTTTATGCTTGAGTTTTACCTAGAATAGCCTTATTATGTTCTTACTTGTGCTAACCATTAATGTGTAATGGATTTAATGAAAAAGGGAAAGCTAAATGGGTTGGTAAAGATGAGAATGTTATATATGATGAATGATGAGAATGTTAAGTTTGATATTAGTAGTTGATTAAAACGAGCAAGTCTTGCGCAAGTGGTTGTTCGGAACCCTTGAATGGAGCGGTTGTATTCGGTCTCTAAGTGGTTTTGATGTGAGGAGGGATTTGGGCAAGGCCCAATTTATTGTCTTTTTTGAGGCCCTGCGATTGGTGCTACGCAGTATATAACCGTTAGTAGGCATCCGAGGTAAAAGCAACAAAAGAGGGGGCATGCCGAATAATCCACGTCCAATT